GTTGAGTAATAGTAGCAGCAGTAATGAATTCTTGAGTTGGTAGAGTTGTATGTATTTTATATTTTGATCTATGAAGGTTTGAATTACAGCTATTACAAAACAAAAAGAAAAACTTTTGGTGAAACTAAAACCATATCCATAATATCTATTTTTTTCTTTAAATAAAAGTATTTGTTGCCCTTTTAAAGTATTTGAGGTTGGATCAAATTTTTTTTGAATTAAAATCATTTTTAACAGGTTTTTTTTCCAATTCACAATCATAATTTAGAAAAGTTTGATCTACTTTGCATCTAAGGCAGATTTGACATAAAAAACATATCCCAATTAAATATTCCCTTGAAACAATATCTTGTTCATCCATCCCTGGCTAAACAAAATTTGAAAAATAATTATTATTATTCAAAAGATTTCATTGGGAAAACATTATCATCAGTCTTTTCTTACTATGTTTTATATTTAACCACACTTGAAATTTTGATATAATATGTTATAGGTGCTAATTAAAGAGAGTTCACAAAAAAAATTAGAAATAGTGTTGCTAATTTTGGGAAATTTCAAAAAATTTCAATTGAAAAGGAACAATAAATACATGGTTTTCCTCACTTTTCACTAAATATTTTACATTTAACCACACTTTATATTTTATTGTATATACTAATTAGGAAAAGTTCACAAAAAATAGGTAGTTTTGGGAAGGGATCAATGAAATTTCAAAAAATTTCAATTGAAAATAAAATATATATATATAATTTTTCTTAATTTTCATTAAATATTTTATATTCAACCACATTTGAGATTTCTATAGATTATATTATAAAGTTTAATTAGGGAAAGTTCATAAAAAAACTGAATTAAAAAATATTAAAATTAAGAGTTTTATAATATTTATCTTTCGCGACAAGAGAATTTTATAAAAAAAAATTATGGGTAACACGGATCTGCAAAAATCAACTATTTTGCAAACCACAATAATTCACAATGGTATTTTGGATAGAACATCCCCTTATGGCCATGCGCTTCAATGATTTCCTGTATTAAAGGTATTTGAGCTACAAAATCTGGTTGTGCTCCTAATTTATGTCTTGCACAACAATCTGGATAGTTTGTAATTTCTTCAATATTATTATTATTACAAGTTAATATTAACCCTTCTTTTGGCCATAATCCACATTCTTCCAAAATTAATTTTATTCCTTTGGGTTTTCCACATAATTTAGGATCATGAAAGTCATCAGGAAAATTCATTGTTTGAATTTTTCCATTAAAGATTGTGTCTCGCAGTTTAGGTTTTTTCCCACCAGGATTTAAATTCATATTATTTACATTTAAAGCATTGTCTGCAATTTTGGCATGGCTTGAAGAATTGTCAAAGGCAAAAACTGCAACTGCACCTGGGTGAGTGGCTTCAAATATTGGAATTGCATGTTTAATTATCTATAATAAAAATATCTTTAACTTTTTTTTTTCAATTTAGTAAGATTTCAGTTAAATTGAAACATTACTTGATCAATTAATTTTTCAACATTACACCATCCATCAAAATTTTTTCCTGGATTCATCATTACCCTTGCCTCATGAGGAACTGACTCTCCAAACTCATAAACCTGTTGTTGATTCAGTTTTAATCTTCCAATTGTGTTAGTAACAAATTCACTTACATGGATTGATCTGCCTTGTCCTTTTTTCCTCAAAGGTTGTTCTCCTTCAGGCATCCACCCAGATTTCAATCCATCATTTGATTGAAAGGTAGTTTCATCATGTGTTACCAATATATGAAGTTTTTCTCGTTCATTTAATTCTGGATTGATTTGGATTTCAATATTATCACCTGTAAATGTTGGCATTAATTTCTGATATCTATATTAAAAATCAAAGCATTGATTAATTATGTTTTTAGATGATAATTGTTATAATAAATTCATAACTCACAACTCTATTTCCTCTAAAAATTTACTTCTATATTCAACCACATCACTTCTTTCATGTCCATCAAAATAAAGACCTTTTTTATATTTGTCATATACATAGCCCATTTTCTTCAACCACCTGTTTGCTGTTGATAAACTTAAAAAAAAAATTTTTGTTAATTAAGAATAGTTTACAAAAAAAATATTCTTCTTCTCACCTGATTGCTGTCTCATTTTCAACTCCTATACTAGGAAATACATCTTTAGCAATAAATTCTTTAAAATTATTTACAGTCACATTAAATTTTTCCTTTCTTAAAAAGATGATAATTTAATCTGAACATCTTCATCATCAATAATACTTCCTCTTAAATGTTTGCCTCTTTTTTTATATGAAATATCACCATATTCTATAAATGACTTTCCCCAACTTCTTATACATTTTGAAAACCATGGGCCTTTATTTAAGATTTTGAAACTAAATTTGCTGCTTCAAATTTTTTATGATTTCTTTTTAATAATTGAAAATAATATTGCAAAGCTTTTAATCTTAGATTATAACTTTTTGCAATATCAAATGATTCATCAAGTTTGATTTCAATATCTTTTAACAAATAATCATAATTTATTTTTTGAAAATTATCAACTATTTCTAATTCATTATTAACTGTTTCAGAACTTTGTGAATCATTATCCTGAGTCATTTCTTTACTAGAAGTTTTTTCTAAAATAAAAAATTGATCAAGAGTTTGACCATTTTTATTGATATTTTCTTTTGTTGATGCCTTTCTTCTTTTTTGTGTTATTGTTGAATTTCCATGATAGGTTAAAGGTCTTTTGGCTTTATAATTTTTCATATTATTAATCAGTAATTGGAATAAAGATTCACTGTTATTTTCAAATTCTTCATCAAAATATGAAATCATTTCTTCAAAATCATCAGAATTAGCAGAATCACTATTTTCTCCAAAAAAAGAAATATTTAATTTAATTATCAAGTTATACTTAGCAAATTAAACAATAATTTCTCACTAAATTTCATTACCCTCTGGTATTTTTTGTTTTTCTTGTCTTGACTGCACAGAAATTTTAGCAATATTTTTTAAGTGTTGAGTTCTTTTTTTAATTCCAACCATTTTAAGTATTTTAGGATTTTTATTAGAAGAAAAATTAGCAAAAAAAAATATTTTGAAATATTGTGATTCAATTTATGCGAATTAATTAAATTGATACGCGACATTTTATTTTGTAAATCGGGCCAACATTAGACGAAATTGACCAAAATTATAAGGTGCCAATTTCAGAATTTTTATAAATTTTATAATAGAATTTTCAAACTTTAACCTGACATGACTCTTGTTACACTGAACTTATTTAAAAAGGCTCAACGTAGCTCAATAGCTCTTAACTAAAATAATTGATTAACGTTGTTTTTTTTCAAAAAGTGCATGGGAATTTGATCCATGTCAATTTTAAGAAGACCAATTATTTTGGATGTATTATTGTGACACACACTGTACAATTTCCCAGTTTCAATGTAAAAATGATTATTATAATGACTTTTTTCCCCTCAAACATTCTAATGCAGAAACCACCATTTTTCATTCTATAATTGAATTGTGGCCTATATTGATTGGCTAATTTTAATATATATATATATATATAATCATTGATGCAATTTATGCAAAAGCATAATCCTGGACACCCTAGGCCTGATTTGATTTTTTATTAGGACCATAATATGATTCATCAGTGTCAATTTTGTTAATATTTTTTTTGGCTCTATTAATTAGAGCATCCACTGTGTGCCCTGGTTTTGGTGGGTTAAGGTTAAGATTATTTAGATGGCCAGTCCATTATTAATTCAGGAACATTTTCGTTGAAAAATGATTGGGTGATTCTACTAGTATGTTTAGGATCATTGTCCATATTAAAGTTGTTAGCTGTAACTATTTTTTGATTTCCGAAATATTTCGGATTAGTGGTTGTACTCCGAATTGTTTCCGAAATGCCGAATTGTTTCCGAAATGCTGAATTGTTTCCGAAATGTCGAATTGTTTCCGAAATGCCGAAATTGAAAATGCCGAAATGTGCAGAAATGTGCCGAAATGCCGAAATTACATATTTGGTAAAGATTATCATAATAAATATGAAAAAAAACTCACGCTCACCAACAACCACTTCTCTAAATAATAAATATTCTAATTAATACAATAATTATAATAATAACTTATTAAAATAATAAAATACAAATAATTAAAAATAATTAAGATAATAAAATAACAAATAATTAAGATAATAATAATTAAGATAGTAAGATAATAATAATTAAGATAGTTAAGAATAATAATAATTAATTAAGTTAAGATAATAATAATTAAGTTAGTTAAGGTAATTTATAAGCACTGCAATTTTCACACTTCCATACAATAATTAATCTAGTAATAATAATTAAAGCACATCACAATTTTCAAAATATTCTTAAGGTCTACACCATTACAATAATAATTATAATTATAATAATTAAGACGATAATAATAAATAACAAACAAGGATAGCTAATATTTTTTGAATGTCTAAACAAAATAACAGCAATTCAGGACGAAAACTCAATGAAGTTTGGAATTTTTTTACTAAAACACCACTTAAATCAGCTGGCCATTTTTCTGCTAAATGTATCTTTTGCAATCGTAATTGGGGTAGAGCATATGTGAAAAGTTTACAAGCACATCTATCTAATGATTGTGTTGAATGTCCTAATGATATACGTAATTTTTATCTTGGAGTTTTATCAACAAATGATAATATGTCAGTTGATGATAATTTGTCATCAAATTCAAGAATGTCAATTCAGTCAACTAATTCATTTAAAAGAAAAAAACTTGATGGGCAGCAAGGGATTGAAGATTTTTATGAGGGCAAAGAACTCACAGATTCAAAAAAGGATGCAATCAACACAGCATTGGTAAAAGCATTTGTTGGATGTGGAATTTCATTTAATGTCATTAATAACCCATTTTTTAAAGAACTTCTACATGAATTACGACCAAATTATTCTCCTCCAACACGTCAAACATTGTCAGGAAACTTGTTGAGCAAAGAAATTGCTAGAGTAAATAGTAGAATTGATAAAGAATTAGAAGTTGGAGAAAACCTTACTCTTGGTAAATGATTGTAAAATAATAATTTATTTGGTGCACTAATATTTTATATCTAACCCATATCTATGAATTTTTATATATATTTATATATTTTCAGCATTGGATGGGTGGTCATCTCCTGGTTCATTTTCCATATACAATTTTATCATTTTAACACCACAAAAAAATCAATATTTATATTGTCTTCGTGACTACTCCAGCTCTCACCATACTGGTCAATTTTTGGCAGCAGAAATTAAAACAGTAATCAATAAAATTGGAGTTGATAAATTTAAAGCCATAGTATCAGATAATGGTGCTAATGTTAAGCTTGCACGTGAAATAATTGTTAAACAATACCCATCTATAATAAATCTTAGATGCATAGCTCATTTTGTGAACTTGATTACCAAATCAATCATTGGTGAGTAACAATTTTTTAATATTTATTATTTTTTTAATATTAATATTTTTTAATGCCTCAATTTTTTTTTATTAGATCATGAACAGGCTTCTAATATACTTTCAAAATGCTCAACTATAATTAAATATTTCAAAAAATCTCACATTTGTCAAAACTTGCTGATGAATGAAGCCAGTTACTTTTCAATTCAAGGAGGCGGTCTCAAAACTTGCATTAAGACAAGATGGATATCAATTTTTGAATCAACAAATTCAATTGTAAGAATGCGTCAAGCTTTAGAAGAAGTATTTATTTAATAATTTATTATGCAATATATTGATTATATTAGATGCATTTGAATTGATCAGATTTTTATCATTTTTTATTTAAAATATTAGGTAGTTATTAAGTATCCTGATGAAATTAAAAGCAGACCAGTCAAAAAAATATTGAAAAAGCAAGGGTTTTTTGAAGAAGTTGCATCATTGTCTCAAATATTATTGCCAATTAAAAACACTATAAAAATCTTAGAAAGTGATAATTCAACTCTAGCTGATGTATTTATACAAATGATTCGTCTTGCTTTTAAATTAAAAAATATTAATGTTGGCAACATGATTGAATTAAAAAGACATTCAATTTGTGCATTTAATAAAAGATGGGGTGAATTTCAAATCGATCCTTATATATTGGCTTACTTTTTACACCCTGGGTATAGAGGTAAATTTTATTCTGTATATATAGATTATAAATTGGCTAATTTAAAATTTAAAATTTTAATTATTATTATTAATTTAAATAGACATTGGCATTAAAACAGGACAATACAAATTGATAGTTGAGGCAGCACGTGAAATATGGAAAAGTATAGATAGCAGCCTGAAATCAGAAGAAATATTATTGTCACAAATGCGTAAATATAAACTAAAAATATCACCATATGATAATGATTATGTTTTTTTAAACGAAACACCAAAAATTTGGTGGCTCTCAGTAGATGATCCACATAAAAATCTACAAAAGTTAGCACTTTTAATGTATGATATTACACCACATAGTGCTGCATGTGAAAGGGTTTTCTCAACTCTTGGATGGATATACAACAAAAATCGTCTTCGTCTCGCTGTATCAAAAGTAGAAGGTATGGCTAAAGTGAGATCATACTACTTGTCAATGATCAATCAAGAGTTAAAATATATAACAAAAAATAGTGATCCTGTGGAATTAAGAGAAATGGTTGAACAAGCATTGGAAGATGATGATGATGTTGAATATTATGATGACAATGATCATAACATTAACAATGATCATAATATTAACAATGATCATGGTAATGATCATGACAATGAGAATAATCATAATGATGATACAGAAAATGTTATTGAACAAAATTTAGTAATCCCAAATCATGATGTGTTTGTAATTATTGAAAATATTTTTGATTTGGATAGAATTCCATTTATTTTGGATCCTGATGATTATGATAATAATGATAATGATGAATCTGAAGGTTCCAATGATGAAAATGGTAATGAATATGATCAATACTTGGGGGATCCAGAAGATATATATAATTGATAAAAATTTTTTTACATTTATATAAATTTATATAAATATGGCTATAATTTTTTAAAAATTAATAAATTTAATAAATTTAAACTCCTATTTGAAAGTGATTTGTTTTTCTACAAATATCTTAACCTGACAATAAAATTATCCAACTCTTAAATCATTTTTTGGGGAAATACACCAGTAACTTTGTTTATTGGGATAAGCTCTAGAAAGTTATTGGCTGGTTTTCCCAGAAAACATCTCTATACTAGTTGAAAGGTTTCAAAGTTGGAGTGCTTTTATAAATTTGACAAAATTGAATGGAAACAATATTTCCAAGCTTGGTGATTCTTGTGATCATGATAATCTTTACCAAATATGAAATTTTGGCATTTCGGGAACATTAAGGCATTTCGGAACTGGGATTTTAAAAAGCAATGCCTGAAATAGTTTCGGATTCGGCAAATGCCTAAATATTTTGGATTCGACTAACAACCTTGGTCCATATATATCTGGAATATGATTTCCAAGTATTTCCACATAAAAATTTACATACATCATTTGACTAAAGCAAAGAAGATTCATTTTTCCGTTTACACAAAATCCACCTCATGCTAAAATTTTGATTCCATCTTTTGGCATGTGATGAACTGGTTTCACACCTTTATGCCAACATCCCAAACAGTTGAAAGGCTGTATTGTATTCATTGGTAATTAACGTCTGTGGCAACATTCAAGTGTTTCCTTGCCCATTCAATTCTTTCTCCCTGTGGACTGTTGTTAGCATAGGGTAACTTGTGGATGGCTTTTTTTATAACCATAGTTTTCTGATAGTTTGTCCAATCAAATGTACAGCATCTGCAGTAATTTTTTTTTGTCAACCATTACCACCTTTGTGCAAAATATTGCCATTTTTCAATGTTAAAATAGATGGTAGAAAGGGAATCTTTGTCAAAATGTGAAGTTCTCACACCCTGGTTCCAGAAATGTAATAGAGTCTGACGTTGTCTTCCTTGGTCAGATGTGAATGTTTTGAAATCAATAAACAAAACAAAGATTTGTGTTTTTTTTGAAAGTTACACAACGCAAGTTGGGAATTTAAACCAGGGCTGTTGCGTAAAGGACCTCAGATTATTATAATTGAAAGTGCACCATATGCAGACGATTTCCAGGTAGGTCTGACCTTTATCCTGTGTTCAGAGGGATACAGCTTTAGCCTGGCGAGGGATAAATATAAATGCATGGATATATATCTGATCACCTGGTGCATAGAGCTTGAGTGAATTATCCGACCGATATCCAAAGATCGATAAGATTGATAAGGGGGGATATCCCTCTTACATGTTTTCCCAGGCTGAGGCTCTATCCCTACAAATTGAGGGGTAAAGGTGTAACCTTTCAGAAATTGTCCGCATGGGCTGTGAAAGCAACAATAGACTTTTGGTGGTGTGGCTATTTCAGGTATAGCAGAAAATTTTTATTACAAGTCATATCCAAATCAGGCAAAGCATTTTATGTCATATGAAATTATGGGTAAAGGGTTAAATTGTAATTGATATAGAAAGTTTTGTACTTTTTTCCATTAAGTAAATTTTCTAAGATACGACGGATTTACTAAGAATTACATCAACAAATATATTAATATGATTTTCTTGGTTCTTTAAGATAAAAACATATTGGATAATTTTTTCAATGTTACATATGAAGATGCATGTCTTATTATTACACTAGGGATGTTGATCGATTTTTTCTGCAATTCTATTAATTTTTTTATAAAATTCATATATGTATTTTGCGTGGAATCCACAGCTCCTCAAGTGTAAACTATTTATTTTAATATAAGAAAAGAGAAAATTTTTACATTTTTGAAAAAAACCAAGTTCCTATCTACAAAGTTGCATAACGAAAGTACAAAATTCCATAGTAGTCAAACGATTTGTCACATTAAACGATTGGGAAGTGTATTTTCCGAAATTTTTTGGTGATCAATGTCGAAATTCTATTAATAAAATTAGCCACAAACCTTAATTTTAACCCTTTTTTGCTCAGCAATCTTCACCAAATTTGAGACACAGATTTTTTAAGACTTATTCCTTCTTTTTTTAAAAAAATAGGAGAGATTATTAATAAAATAGTAAAAAATCTTGGTGTTAAAGTTTGTCGACCAAATTACCGCATTTGGGAATTAATTATCTATTTTTGGTCAGCATGGTGGAAGTTCAATTTAATTGGTCGTGTAATGTGACAAAATTGAATATACAAAAATGGAAACTTTTATATAAAGTTCGGCCGATCCCTAAATAAATAATAAATTTTCGCATGTTTCGGATTTTTCGAATTTATTTTTAGACACAACCTTTAACTGTTAACTGTTGTTGGCTTCGATATAGGTATAAAAAAGAAGGAATTCTGTAAAAATTTATGTAAAATTAAAAAAAATAAAAAAAATATAATCAAATTTCTTTTTATTCTTAATATTAAAAACTCTTTTTCCTGGCTAGTTAAATAAAATCAAAACCATTATTATTATACTTACTATTCACTATTATTCATTATACTTACTATTCACTATTATTCATTATACTACTACTTATATTATTTGCTATTTTAACTAAACTTTGATTATTTAATAAAAATGATGCGTAAAAATAAATATACTGGTCCTTGTGCAGTTGAAAATTGTAAAGAAAATGAAAAAAGTCCCGAGTATGTTACTTTTAGAAGTATAACTGATAAAGCATTCGATAAGTTAATGAAGCATCCAGATTATTTAAGTATAAATTACTTAAAAAAAAATCAACAACTTTGTTTTACACATTATATGAAATATGTAGAACATAAATATAAAGAAGTGAATAAAAATGAATTATCTGGTGAATATTCTTTGGATGACATTAAAAATTAATATTACAGAAAATGGAATTCTTTTATCTGAAGAAGATTTTAGCTTACTGGTTCAAAAAATTGAAAATTTGGAAGCAAAGGTTGAAAAAAATAAAGAAATTGAAAATATATTTAACATAAATAATATTTTTTTAACAGTTCAGAACAACTTGGAAAAAAGCATTAAAATGATTATTTTTATTAATTGATTAATTATTTATTAACTGATTAATTATTTATTAATTGATTTTTTTATTATAGGCTCCTTAACTTTTGCAGATAAAATTGAATGATTGACCAATATACTTTTCCAACAACAACGTAAATCAAATGAAGATATTGAATTAGATCCTATAAATTTTTGTAAATTAATTGAAGATAAAGAACCAAAGTTGAAAGGATTTTTAATGAACTAACAAAAATAATCCCTGAAGAAAGAACATATCTGAATAAAGAATCAGCCAAAAAATCTATTGTAGGTTTTTGTTATCTTTTAGCTGGAATAAGAAACAAATTTGTGAATAATTTTAAATTAGACCTTGGGCTTTATTTAGAAGAAAATGGAACCAATGCTGCTGCACTTGATACATTATCAAATGCTAACCTTTCTGCTTGTTACAAAACTATTCAGAATTATAAAAAAACCATTGCAAAAAATCATCAAAAAAAAGTTGAAACATATTTTACCAATTATCTTCCATATATGCATTGTTTTAATATTGATGATTTTCATTCCATCCATGAATGGAGAAGACCTGATTCCACAACACTATCTTCTGCAGTACATATGGCAACATGTGTTGCAAAAAGAATTGACAATGTTTGGGCAGTTCCTGCTAATTTTAATAATGTGCCTATTTTCAATCCAAATAATATTGACTATTCATTAATAAACTCAAAACTTATTAATGATTATAAAGGAATCTTTGATATAAGTTATAATAATATAAAAATACAATGGGTTAAAGATAGATTATTGATAGTAGAAATTTTGATCGTGTTGAAGTTTTAACTATTCATATATATAATGCAGATATTGAAGAAAAAAA